GCGAAGGCATGGGCCACGCCGCGCGCCTCCACAACGATTTCAGCCGCCCCCCCAACGCCTGCCCGAGGACGCCCCACGCGCCCCTGCGCTCAAGGGCCCCGTCGCGCGACGGCCGCCCGAAAAATGCGTGAATGCTGCGCGCGGCTGCAGCGCCGCTGGTTCGGGCTTCTCTGAAAACGCCGGCGTCGCGTCGCTGCAGGCGCCCGCGCCGCGGTGCCCGGCATTGCCCGCGCCCGCGGCGATCCGCAGCCGCGGCGCGCCCGTCGAGCCCCCTTCTACGCCAGTCAGAACGCCCCGCCCACGCGCCACTCGCGCGAGCGGCGACGAACCAGGCTATGGATCCCGCGCGCCGACCAGCGCCGCCCCCAAGCGCCACTTCGCGCACGGCGTTTGGTCCATGAGCTCCACGGCGCGCGGGGCTGCGCGGGGCCGAACGAACTGTCGATGCCGCCGCGCTATCTCAAGAATCCGTTCCTATGTTGAGTGCCGCGCGCCGCCTCCAGACATTGCATGGCCCGCGCACTCTCGCCCGGAGAACCCCGTGGCCTCTCGGCGAGAGCTCGCGCGCCCCCTGCTCGCCGCGGCCACTTGCGAACGCTCGGTTGCCCGCGAGCACCCCGCGAAGTCTCCAGCCGCAAGCGCCGCCACCTGGCGCGTTGCCGCGCAGCTCGCGCGCGCCATCCGCGCGACGGCAACGCGCAGCATTGCCCGGCCTACGGTTGCCACGCCTGCGTCGTCGCTAATCGCGGCGCGTGTCGCGCGCGCGGCGGCGCCTTCGCGCCCGTTCTCTTCGGCGCCCCGCCCCCGTTCAGGTTTCTGGGTAGCCCGCCCCTGGAGAGCGACGCGCCGTCGCCGAGCGAACGCGGCCTCCGCGACGCGCGACGCCCCGCGACGCTTCGTTCGGGAGGCGACGCAAACCGCGCGGATTGGAAGCATGTCCGACTGCAACAAAAAGAAGCGCCCGCAACGCGTCGAATAACGACACGGCAATGACGCACACGTTTTCTGCTGTCGCGCGCTGGCACTCACAACTTGCTGCCCTCGCGCGCCACCCCCTCGAGCCGCGCGCGGCGCCTTGCGTCGTTGCGACGCGCTGGCGAGAGGGGGCGAGATCTTGCGCCTCGCGTGCGGCGCTGTCGCGCTTCCGCGCGTAGCTGTGAACCGGCGCGAACTATGCAATGCCCCCCCTTCCTCGCGCCCCGACCGCGGACCCGGGAACAAACGTGCGCCCGCGTCCCCATTCGGTGCGTAGAAAGACCGCGGCGCGGTCTCCGAGGCAACCTCGCCGCCCCCATTCTCGCGCGGCCACGGGGGAGAATTCGCAAGGCTTTGCGGCAACGATCAAACGGTGACGGCCGCCCCCTCTTGGCGCAACCACACCGGCGATGTCCAGAGAGGGGCGCCCCTTGCGATGCCTTCTGACGCAGGCGCACTGACAACCAGGCAACGCCCCCGAGGACTCAGCCACAACGGGTCTCCCCAGGCGGAATACCGCTAACATAATGGGCGCATGTTTCCTCCTCTAGTTCGGAGGACGCGTCTCGAGGACAACGTGCGATGACTTTCCCCGTGTATCGATCGGGGAGCACTCCCAAACAAATCGGCGTCCAATTCCTCCTTTGAGAGAACGGTATTTCCCCCCCGTCCCCGCTCGGAAAACTCAGAAACCAACATTGCTAGAGTTTCCCCCTTTCGAACGTCCGAAGGACGCGCTTGGGTCTGCTTTCTGTCACAGCTGTTGCGCAGTGGTCGGTCCTGGAAACAGCGCGGTGTTTCCCCCGCTGAATGTCACACATCCGTCCTCTATTTGTGCCCACCTGGGCGCCGTCGCGGTCGGCGCGCGGACGCGCATGCCCCACTTTTTCTTTTCCAATGGTTTTCTCACTGCTCCTTTTCCAGTCCATGATCGAAAGAGCTGTGGGGACATGACAACACATACTGAGTTAGAGGTAGCGCAACCGGCCTTCTCAACTCGCCGCCTGAAGCCTCATCTGGTCGGACAAGGGGCCAAGGCGGTCAAGTGCAGACGCTTCGGCCACGGGCACTTGCCATTCAGAATATGGAACCTCTGTGGCCTATAGATTCCCTTGCGTCCCTCTTCCTCTCCGCGGCCCCCCCTACTCCCCCCTCCCCTCATATTCCCCCTCAGCTCCCCCTCGTCCTCCGCCTCACTTCCTCTCCTCCTCCTCATCTTCCTCCTCCTCCTCCTCTTCTTCCCCCTCCTCCTCCTCCTCCACCTCCTCCTCCTTTTCCTCCTCCTCCTCCTCCTCCTCCTCCTCCTCATCTCCTCCTCCCTTATCTTCCTCGTCCTTGTCGTCTTCCTCCTCGCCTCTTTTCCCTCCTCCTCCTCCTCCTCGTCCTCCTCCTCCTCCTCGTCCTCCTCCACCATCATCATCATCATCATCATCATCATCATCATCATCATCATCCTCATCCTCATCCCTCATCCATCATCCTCATCCTCGTCCTCCTCCTCCTCCCTCCTTTCCCTCCTCCTTCCTCCTCTCGTCCTTTTCCTCCTACTCCTCCTCCTCCTCCTCCTCCCCCTCCCCCGCCTCCTTTTCCTCCTCCTCTTCCTCCTCCTTTTACTCCTCCTCCGCCTCCTCCTCCTCCTCCTCCCCCTGTTGTCCCTTCCGCGCCATTTCTATAAATGTAAAGAAAGATTTCCGTAGCATCTCGGCACAAGCCCGTGACAGCCATGCTGGCCAAGGGCGACAAAGGCAAAGGCGCGTCAGTGAACGGCTGTCCCCCTGCCAAACGAGCTTCGCAAAAAAACAGAGATCCCTACAGCGGTCGCCCGCCCAATATGGCCGGGACCCGCTCTAAGAGAGCGCCCGACAAACATTGTTTTGCTTCGAGAGATCCCCTCCAAAATGTTCAGCGTTTGTTCCCGAAGGCGCGCGGTCGCCGAATTGGTCGACAACTGTCATTTCTTGAATTTTCAAAACCGAAAGAACGGTTCAACCGTGTTCTATGTAGTCACGTTCTTTCATGTTATGATCTGTGACGTCCTGTTATGTTCCCGACGGGCAGGCGTGACACGGTGACGCCTGTGACGTTCGATGCGCCGTCTGTTACGGTGCTCCTCTTCATGTATATGTGTCTCCTCTGGTTGAGTATGTTATGGTGTGTTCATCTCTGCCACCATCTGATTTGACATGTTATCGTGTGATCTGTCCCGCGGCACTATGTTATGACATGATATGTGCCAGGCTATGTTGTAGGATGGTGTGATCCGAAATGTTGTTGGCAGCTCGGTCCAGTAGAGTGTATTATTGTATAAACTGCTGGTATGGTTCGCTCTGCTGCGCTGTCGTGTTATGCTATGTTATGTGATGCTGCCATGCTGTGTTATGTCATGCCCGGCTGTGATATGCTATGTTGTGTTATGCCTTCTTATATTATGGCATGTTCGACTCTGGCATGTTATGTGACATTATGTTTGTTGACAACTAGGCTCTGTATGCTTTGTTATGAAAGTATATGCTGGCATGCGCCGCTATGCTCTGCATGCTGTGTCATGATATGGTATGGCTTGTCAAGGCCAAGGCGTGTTATGTTATGATCGGCTCTGCTATGGTATGTTGTGTGATGTCTCTTGTTCTGTAATGTTATGCCCTTGTATGTTATGTGATGTTATAATTGTTCACGGCTCGGCTCTGTGCAGTAAACTATGATCCGCTTAGCTGATCTGTGTCGGTATGCTCCGCAGGCGTGTTATGGCATGGTACGCGATGCTGTATAATGACATAAATATATATATGTATGGTGCCAAGGTGTGTTATGTGATGTTAAGTTATGGTATGATATATTGTGGTATGCCGTTCTATGTTGTGTCATGCTCTGATATGGTATGTGCCGAGATGTTATGTTACGCTCTTTTTTGTCATGACATTGCTATGCTCTGTTCTGTCAATTTCTGTAATGCTCGTGTTATGTTATGTTATGTTATGTCATGTTATGGTTTGTCATGTTGTGGTATGTCGTGCTCGTCGTCGATATGCTCAGCCCTCGTGTTATGATATGTTTTGTGATGCTGTGTCATGAGACGATATGTTATGTCAAGGTGTGCTATATTACCCATCGTAGATTCGGCTATGCTACGATATCACTCGTAATTCTCGGCTATGCTATGATATGCTGTGTTATGTCGTCTTTCGTTATGTTATGTTCTGCTCTAGTATGCTCCGCGATGTGTTGACATGATATGTTTTGTCATGACACTGTTTTGGGATATTCTGCCATAGACTGTCATGTTCCTGTTTGGTCCTATCATGCTATGTTGTGTCATGTTGTGTTTTGTCGTGTTCGTCGTCGCTCTGCTCCTCTGTCGTGCTATGATATGTCTTGTGATGTTGTGTCATGATATGATATGTTGTGTCCAGGTGTGTATGTTGTGCCCAATCGTGTGATGTTATGTTATGTTATTCTCCAATATGTGATGGGATGTCCTCTTCCTGCTCTACTTTGTCATGAAATTGATATTTTCTGTTCCGTCATGTTCTGTCATGTTCTGCTCCGTTTCGTCATGCTCTGTTCTGTTCTGTCACGTTGTGTGCTGTCGTGTTCGTCGGGGGCGTGGGGCGGGACACCCGGGACTCTCGGGGATCATCGGGACAACTTGGGGTCTGGCGGCCGCGGCATGCAGTGTGGGGTTGGCCGGGCGCGAGGCGGGATGCCCTGGACTCTCGGGGATCATCGGGACAACTTGGGATCTGGCGGTCGCGTTATGCAGGGTGGGGTTGGCTGGGGGGCCTGGTCTTGAAATCTGACAGCCTCAACCTATCGGGCGGGGGGAACACGAACAATGAATGCTCGCTGTTCACCGCCAACAAGGACCAAGAGTCTCCAAGGAGCGCAAACGCCCCCGAAGACCCAACGAACATATGGGGTCGGCGGCGGAGGCAGCAGCCTTAACTTATTATTCAACTTGTTTCGATGTTCTTCTGATGGCGATTATGTTCATCATGTTTATTATACGCATTCTTCTGATTCGCGTCCTGCTGTCGGCTGGATCTTTTGCCTCGTCCTCCTGCAGCCCCTCCTGGCGCTGGTCCACGGCGCGGCTCTCCGCCGGCGCGTCGGTGCCGGGTTCCACGAGGAGCTCCTCGGCGAACGTCGCCAGCGCGCTCGCGTTCGGCATTCTGTTGTCAGCCACTCCCTCGCGGTGATGGTGGTGATGATGGATGCGTTGATGGTGGTGACGATTCTGGTAATGATGAAAAGGAGGATGACGGTGATGATGGCGATGATGCTGGTGATGCTAATGTTGCTGCTGATGATAATGATGGTGATGAAAATGATGATGATGATGATGATGATGCTGATGCTGATGCTGATGCTGATGCTGATGATGATGATGATGATGATGATGATGATGATAGGGCACTCTCCTTGCAGCGTCAGCCTCAGCAGGGCAGGTTGGAGGTGACAGGGCGGCCGCCCCAGGCAGCCCGCGCGCGCCCTGCCGCGGCCCCGCGTCGGCATCCTGCGCGGCCGCCAGCAGAAGCTCGCCAAGGCGCAACGTGAGGGCAGCGGAGATCCTCGCGGACACCTGCCGCGCTAAGTCCATCCCGAGGCGACCGGCGGGCTCGCCAGGGAGGACAGCAGTGCGCCGGGCTGCGGCGGCGATGGCCGAGACGAATCGCTGCGCAGCAGAACCGTGATGGTGATGATGATGGTGGTAGTGATGATGATGGTGGTGGTGCTGATGATCATGATGGCGGTGGTGATGATTAGGATGGTGGTGGTGGTGGTGATGATGATGATGATGATGTTAGTGGTGGTGGTGGTGATGATGATGACGGTGGGTATGATGATGGTGGTGATGATGATGGCGATGATGCTGATAATGCTGATGACGGTGAGGAGGAGGAGGAGGAGGAGGAGGAGGAGGGGGACCAGTGTAAACCCAAGACCCATGAACGATATTGCAATAAACCCTCCCTCCAACTTCCCTCTTCATAGGCTACTGCACGGATCCATTTCCACTGAGGGAGTACCGTCCCTGGGACTTCAACGCCAATCACCGATACTGGTGCGTCCTGACTATCCTGACTCGCGCCAGAACGCCATTCCTGGGACTTCAACACCGCGAATCAACGTGACTGTTGCGCCCTGACTTTCCGACACCGTGTCAGAATCAAATTTCTTGGACGCTAACCATAAAAATCTTTAAAACTCTTACACTCTTACCACGAATGTGCGCGGCGCTAAGGCGAGAACCACATTTTGAAAATGAGCCGCCCTCCATCCGTGAAGCTCTTGAACTCTTGCAAACTTTGAAACCTTATGCGCGCGACGCCAAGGCGAGCGCAACGTTTTGAAAACGGACCGCCCTCCATTCGTGACTCTTGCCAATTTGTAAAACGAGTGTACTCGGCTATGGCGAGAGCCGCAATTTGAAAACGACCGCCCTCCATCCGCGAAGCTCTTCCATTGTTAAGATGAGTGTGCGCGGCGCTGAGGCGAGAACCACATTTTGAAATCAGGCCGCCCCCCCATCCGCGAAGCCCTTGCAAACTTCAAGCTTCCAGATCAGAAGTGGTGAGGAAGTATCTGGCGAAACGCAGTGACGACGGTGCTGCTGACGACGAAGCTTGATGATCAAAATAGTGACAACGGTGCTGCTGATGATGACGAGTCTGATGATGGTGGCGGTGAGGATCATGATAGTGGTGATTGTGGCAATGGCGATGACGACGGCAATGATTGGTAATGCTGATGCTGATGATGCTGGCGGTGATGATAATGGCGATGCTGATGACGACGATGATGCTGATGCTGATGAGGATTGTGATGATGATGATGATGATGACGACGATGCTGATGATGATGACGACGATGATGATGATTGTGATGATGATGATGATGATGATGATGATGATGATGATGATGATGATGATGGTGATGGTGATGGTGATGGTGATGGTGATGATGATGATGATGACGGTGGTGATGATGGCGTTATGGCATGATGGTGGTGATGAGGAGGAGGAGCAGCAAAGGAGGAGGAGGAGCGGAGGAATCAGATGAGCAGGAGCAGGAGCAGAAGGAGCAAGACCAGGAGGAGAGGGAGGATGAACAGGAGGGGAAGAAATACGAGGAGGGGGTGGAGGATCATGAGGAGGAGGAGGAGGAGGAGGAGGAGGAGCGGAAGCAGGAGCAAGAGCAGCAGGAGGGGAAGGAGGAGGAACAGGATGATTGAGACGAGGAGGGCTGTTCTACATAAGCCATGCATACCGGCTCATATCGGGCGTGACCCGCACGAACGCCAGGACGACCCAGAGAACGTAGCGGTCACAACACTGCACCACTCCCTCGCCAACGCCAGATACAAATGATTACACGCATGACGTAGCGACACAACGAAGACATCACAAACATGAAATGGTGCGGTGGGACAACCGACCAACAGCAACCAGCCGATACGCCCGAGCCGATGTCCACCGAGTACGACCACTGCACACAGCTAAGCAACACCACATAGCAACCGTCACG